TCCAAATATGTTTAAGAAAATTATTTTAAAATTGGTACTCTGATGACTGTCAATTGAAAATCTTTTTAAAAGTGGAAATGAGTATATGTTTATGTATTTTCAACTAAATGTTTCTTTCTAATGGTCCCTACAACAGGAATCTTGTATTTCATGGGGGAAGGAGATGGTAGGGATTGGTTCAACATCTGGGTACTTAGATGATAAAGCTTTAGAGTTACATGAATTTAGATCATTTGGGTTGGTTTTTATACACATAGATTTTTAGGACTTCCCCTTTTATTTTTCTTTTAGCCATCTTTTGTCCTTGTCGCCCAGGTACATTCACACTCATTGTCCCATTTACTAGGGCTAATTAAGGCCCAGGCAAGACTTGGAAGGCAGGGAGTATCAAGAAATTCAAGATGCCAGGTTCCTTTCAAGCAAGTATGACCAAGAAACCTTGTGCTTTGCTGGGTTACCTTACAATTATTTTCAGCCTCCCTAGGTATATAATCATTTCAGGGAAACCAAGGCAGCACCAATAGCTAATGACCCAAATCAGTCTACGTAGGTAATTTACCTACAGCTTTTCTCTCCACTAGCCCCTAAATCTTCCACTTTGTCAAATTTGCCTCATCACCCTTTATTAAATTATGCAGGAGGTGTTCAGGGCAAAAATGTTAGGTTCCTACGATTTCTCATTTCATTTAGTTAATGCTGAATTTTTTTTTTAATTTGGTACTCACAAATCACTACCTCTCATGCTGATAAGCTTTATTTTCCAGTTTTTGTATCTGTCTTATGTTACATATATTAACATCTAGCTGTCCTTTATGTATTGGTCTCATAGAATTAAGGAGCCTATGTGTTTATTTTTTATTTTTTTCAGTCTTGCTTATGGCTGGTGTTCTGTAAAGGATTTGTTCAATAAAGGAACAAGTGAATGACCTATCAATCTGACTTTAGAAAGGAGGTCAGTTACGGAGATTTTAATGTTAGAAGAGGCCTTAATGATGATCTCATCTCACCCTTTCAGCTTCTTAAGCATGAAAACGTCTTTTTAGGACCGGACTCAAAATGTCTAAAACTAGTAAACTAAATTTCAATGAGAACTTGAATAAGGAACAACTAGATATTAACTTTAATCATTTAAGATCCAGCAGTTCTATAATGAACATGCAAATGTGTCCCCAGCGGACAAAGATTATTAGACCTACAGCTTGCATAGGTAGGTTCAGGTTTTTTAAATTAGTTATCCATAAAGTAAATCCATTTCTACTGGAATTTTATGACCCCATTCTGTGGAGTGTTACAAGTTACCCTCTTAGACATCATAGATAGTTCCAGCACACTCCACATATGTATCAATAAAACCATCCCCCAGTGAGCCCTGCCATCTCCACCAGAATTAGATACTCCCCAAAAAAAAAAAAAAAAAAAAAAAAAAAAGCTTTTTTTAAAAAAAAAAAAAAAAAGGGTGGTAGGAATTTAAAAAAACAACCACTTTTTGTTTTCTTCAAGTAGCTTATTGTAATTTTATTAAGAAGAAACATTTTTCAAAAGGAGTATTTCTTTTTTTTTTTTTTTTTTTGCCTTCATTCCTTTGAGATTGACAGACGGTGACAACAAGAAAAGGAGCCAATTACCTATGTGTTCTTGAATTATTAGCTGTCATTATCAGTGAATTAGAACAACCATAGTTTTAGGTATGAAATGTTCGAGTACTTGAAGAGTCTTCTAATATTCCTTGCAACCTCCTGTTTTAGCAAGTAGATTAAGAATAATTTTATGTTTTTATTATTCAGTAGTTATGCAGACTTAAAAGTGTAAATTTAGAAGATGGAGCTATAATGGTAAGAATCTCAAAAGTTGGGCTTTTGGGAGCCAGAGCAGCATAACAGAGCATAGGCTGTGGAGGCATAGACTTGAACATAAATCCCAACCCAGTCACCTCTGTGATCTTGGGCCCCAGTCATTTCACCATTCTGAGCCTGCTTCCTTGTTTGTACAATGATTATAATTCCCTCACAATATTGTGAGGATTAAATGAAATGTGTAAATTGTCTACTACAGTAGGCCCTCAAATATTTATTTTTATTATTTTCTATTATACATGTTATTTTGCCTATGTTTTTAATAGCTGTCTAAAGTCTAGGCATAGGGGAAAACTGGTTAAGTGGTGCTTCAATTAAAAAAAAAATTGTAATTTAATCTATCAGTGACTTATTTTCCTTCCAGCTTCTGGTTTTTTTCTGTGTATATGTGTTGTTGTTGTTGTTTTAACTGTAATGCAAGAAATCCACACTTTCAGACTGGAGGAGCAAGAAAATTGTATCTGCTCTTCATTACTTTAATCTTGTTGGTAAAGTGAAATGTTGTAGGCCTGCAGATATGTAAGGAAGCTTTGGCTCACTTGAAGAGGGGATCCTGGTGTTTTAATACATGGATTCTACAAACCTTTCACAGATTTTCTTCACTGTCATAAGGGAATTGGTTTGATACTGATAAGTTAATTGGTGCTCTTTCATGGCAAAGGATCTGATAAGTGAAGAAAGGTTCTTGTACACTAAAGCAAATCAAATAGGGAAAACTAAGGATGAAATAGAATATTCAGAAGCAACTTCAATAAAACCTGAATTGACATAACTAGTTCCTGTGTTTAGTGTCTTTGTCTGCCTATATATTGACATTATGGTCACTTCATTGACTCCTCACCCATCTTGTCAACACTCAGCAGAGGTACCTTGAGATCCCACAGCAGCCCAGCCAAATGGATGTGGTGTAGATGTTCATTCTACACCCTGCCTTGGGGTTGAAGTCTTGTCTGTTCTCCTACCTCCTTGGCCTTGCTTCATTCTGATTCTTACATAGTTCTTGATCTGGACTTCTGTTTTTGCCTTCCTCTCTGGCATTGCCTTATTTTCTTACACTTGTTTCTTGGTTCTAGTTGTCTTACCTGCTTCAATCACGTCACTTGAACTCCTGGACTTCTGATCCTCTCAACCAGATCACTGACATGTGGCCTTACACAGATCTTCAGCTTCCGTGAGTCCTTGTCAAGCTCTGCCTGGCTTTGTCTATACATCTGCTTAACTGGCTGCCAAATACCCAGCCTCCTGGCTGAGTGGCCCTCTTTGGAGCCATCCTTTCCAGCAATTCGGCCTTGGATTTCATTACTCTTCTAATCTTGTCTTGATATCCTGGCTCCCCAATCCATTGCTTCCCATATTCCCAGTGCTAGGAAGTATACTCTTACTTCTATCTGCTCATACCATCCACATGGTCAAGTTCGCTGTGGAGGTTTCAAACGTTGCTCCAAATCTTGAATCCGGACTTTGTGGTTGACCAATAGAATGTAGTAGAAGTGACTGCTGGTTTCCAGACCCAAACTATCCTATCTCTGGATGCTCACCCTTACAACAACTCAGCCTTCAATTGACAGCAAACTGAAACAGCCTTTGGAGTGAAACTAGGCCCTAGCTGAGATTTCAGCTGATAGCCAACGCCATCTTGCCAGCCATCTCGAGTCATTTAGAAATTGGATCCTCCAGCCCTTAGTGGAACAGCCCCCATCCGACACCATATGGAACAGAAATGAGCTGATCTCACAGAGCCGTGCCCAAAGCCCAGATTTATGGGCAAAGTAAATGATTGTTACTGGTAGCCACTAAGTTTGGGGGTAGTTTGTTACGAAGCAATAGGTAACTGATAGAGTCACCCAGCTTCACTCCTGGTCTCCTAGAGTCGACATCACCACTACCTGAACGATAGACATGTTTTATTGGGAAAATGATTTTTCTCTGTTCCTATGCTTCTGCACCAGTAGGTTGGTTCAGTAATAAATATGTAAGGCCTTTTGTTTGGTGGGAGAAAAGGAGGAATTTTAGAGTTAATACAATTTACCCTTCAAAAAGCTACAAGAATCAGATTAAGTCAGCGCATAAGAGAACTTGGCACAAAGTAATTGATGAATGCTTATATAACAAAAAATTTAAGGAACTATCTTGAGTCAAGGGAATGAACTTAAGGAGCTTTACATTCTGACAAACATTACCAAAAAGATTATTTCTTAAGATCATAAGAAATGCATGTTTGTCTACTACTTTACTAGCAACCAGCTTGGCCCTTCTGTGACTCAGAGAGCTGACTTGGAATCTCAGCTACATGCTCTTTTACTAGCGTCTGAATCCTTTCAGTTTCTTCTCTTAGCCATCATCTGGCCAAATTAAATATGGGTTTTCCTTACTTATCCTGAAGCTCATGCCCAGCTTTATTTTCTGCCAGAGGAATCTGTCCTTCGCCGTGTAATGAACTAACCACACGGAGCGGCTCTTCTTTTCTGAGGGTGAAAATGGGAACTTACTCCTCCCTTCCTACCTTTCCTTCCCCCGAGAAGAGACTGGATGAAACCCTTCTCTTTTGGTTAAGTAGAAGGCAGAGACACAAAGTGCATGTAGAACCTGCAAGTACACGTGGGTGACAGCAGTCTCGAAAGCATCTGGCCTTGCTTCCACGCGCGCGCAGGGGAGCGCCTCGCCCCCACGCCTGCACACGCTTGGTCAGCAATCTGCTGCGCTTGCAGATGCTGCCAGACGGTATCAAGTCTCTGATCTCACGTGATTGCCAAAACCACCCAGAAAGGGAGCGGGAGAGAAGGGAAACCGAAGCAGACACGGAGACGGCCCGTTAGAGAGCTAGGAACCCGCAGGGGTTGGACTGGGACCGAGGTCGCCCGCCTCTCCCGTCGATCTCCCCTCAGCGCGGCCCTGGTCCTGATGCTGAGCACCCGGAGCGCGCACACCTGCGCGGGGGCAGGACGAGCCAGCCAATGGAGAACCCGCGTCCAGGAGGCGGGACGGGGAAGCCGCTCCCGACGGAGCCTACCCGAGAGGGATGCAGCTAATGAGCGCCTCGTGCTGGAGAGAGACGGCGGCTCGACCAATGAGAGGCGGTGGCCCGCCGGGCTGAAGGCGGAACAGCCAGAGGGGCGCCGGGGCGGGGCGGCGAGCCCAGCGCCAACCCGCCCGCACCGAGCGCCGGCGTGCTGTCCGGATCGCCGCCCGCCATGGCCCGCGCTGCCCGGCTCCTCGCCGCGCTGGCCGCGCTCCTGGCAGCCGCCGCCACAGGCGGAGACGCCCGGCCCAGCAAAATCGGTGCGGGAAGGACGGGGTGGGGGGCTGCGCGGGGGAGGGCTGTGAGGGAAAAGGGATCGTAGCCGGCAGCTACCGGGTGGGGGAAGGGGAAGGAAGCTGGGCGAGGGAGGGGTCCTCGGGAGAGGAACGGGCTGGAGAAGAGGCAAGGGACTGAGACTGGGAGAGGAAGGGGAACGGTGGGAGGCAAGGTGCTGATCCGGCATGGGCATGTGGCGACGGCTGCCTGGGGCGGAAAAGAGGCTTGGGACCGGACTGGCCACTGATCTCACCAGAAGGGCCGGGAGCATTGAGCATCTGCGGTGGACCTGGCTCTTTGCCAGGTGCCCCGATGGATGACAGAGAGGCCCGGGACTGGGTGATGTCATTCATAAAGGTTTATTGAGGGCCGTCTGTGAAGCAGGCACAGTGCTCGGTAGTTCCGGTCTGGAGGCGAGACTGCACAATACAGGGAAGTCAATGGTAAGGCTGAGAAGGTACCCCGATGGGAAGAGCGCTTCGTCCATCTTCCAGGCTCCAAGAGGGCTCTGGAGGGCTTCCTAGAAGGAACATCTAAGCCAAAACCTCAGGGAGAATAGAAGAGAGAACCTAGGAAGGTCTGCTGGAGATCAATTTGCTGAATGACAGTGGAGAACTTTTAACAGCAGTCATCTTGGGTTTTATTAAAATATTTTATTTTGAAAATTTTCAGATGTACAGCAGAGTTGAAAGAACTGGATATACAGTGGTCAACTGTGTACTCACCACCTAGATTCTGCCCTTAGCAAACTGCTCCTGTACTTGCATTATTACATAACTATCTTCCCCTCCCTCCATGAATTCAACTTACATCTTAATGCATTTCAAAATAAACTGCAGGAATCAGGACATTTGCTAAATACTTCTTCCTGCATCTCATTGACTAGAGCTCCATATTTGTTTGCTCTTTCTATTAACAATTGTCAATTTTAACTTGACAGGGCTCTTAAAGATATTCCAGTCCCTCACATATAAAATTCCCGCAGGCAGAGATGCTAGTCTTCTGGTGTCGGGGGCAGAGTCTCCACTCCACTAAGCTGCCCTCTCTGCCCCCTTATTGGCAGGGGAGCATGTCCCTTGAAAGCACCGCAGACTTATTGGGCTAGTATAGTGCTAAGGCTTCTTTGGATTACAAAACTGCAGCTCAGGCCATAAAGGGTTAAGACAGATGAGCCTGCCAGAAATCAGTTTGGGACTGAGAGTCTAGGGTTTTCAGGGGAGGGAGAATCCTGAGAGCTAGAGCAGACAGAGAAGACCTCAGGGAGAAGGTGGATTTTGGCTCCGAAGGATGGGGAAGTTAGGCACGCTGTGTCTGGAGGGGCAGGACACTCCCTTCATCTCCCAAAAAATGGGCAACAAGGCAAGACATTTCACACTGGCCCCTGGGAAGGGGCAGGGCCTCCTCCCAGCACTCCTGTTTCCAGCAGTACATGGCTGGTTGCCTGCCTCGTCCCTGCCTACCTGGCCCAGCGGTCACCCAAGGCAGGACACTTGGCAATGCCAAGATGCTTGGTAGCTTTTCTGATTGTCCTCATCTTGGTGGTTTGGATTCTACACACGAGATTGTGGAGCTTTCCTGTGAGGATGGCTTCACCCCCAGACTGCTTGCAGGGTCAAATCTGAATACCTCTGTGTGACATTGGACTCTTTGCCCCCACCCCCACAGTTCCACACACTGCCCTGCTCATGCTGTTCTCCAGGGAGAATGTGCTTCTGCTGCCAGGCAAAGCTGATCGTCCTCCAGGGCCCTGGTCAGACATTACTTCCCCTGTGAGGCCTGTGTCTCCACGTGCTCATGCACAATACGTTGCTTCCTCCTCAGGATTCCCCGGAACCCTGTTGTCGCACGGGTCACACGTTGTCATAGCTTGCAGTGCTCAAGTCTGTCTGCCCACTCCCTGCCTGAGCTCAGGAGGACAAAAGCCGAGCTTGATTCTCTTGGGCCCTAGCACGTCTTATCATGGACCAGGGAGTGGGCGTCGGTTTGTGGGCGTTGAATGCGCTGCTTCTCAATGAGGTGAGCTCTTCTGCTTCCCCAGAGCCCTGTGGGCAGCTTCGAGGCCTCATGATATTAGTTCCTCTGAAAAATGGATAACTTGGGGCTCTGTCACAGACAGGAAGGGAGTGCACTGGTTGAAAAAGGTTAAGGGCACTCTTAGAAATGGCTTTGTAAACACTGAAAAGGAGGAAGTGGATTTTTTTGTTTTTTTGTTTTTTTGTTTTTTTCAAGATGCAACAAATACTTAGCTTTACTGCCTGCCAGGGTCTGGGGGACCTAGGGAGCTGCTCTCAGTCCTTAAATGGACCAGTGAAGGATAGTGTGCAAGAATAAGGTCCCGGGGAAGGAGCGTGCGCTGGAGGAATATGTGGGAGTGACACCTGACTTGTCTTAGGTGAGTGAGGCAAGCAAAACTAATTGCACACGGCGGCCCTAGAGGCGGCCCTAGAAGCAGCAAGGCAAAAGGCGACAGCGTTCCCAAAAAAGGAATCAACGTAGGCCAAGACACAAGTGTGAGAGCAAAGTCATGGGCTCCACAACCAAAAAAGTTGATGCAAACAAGAAGGGGGAGGGGTGGGGAGTGGTGCAGGAAGTGCCCAAGTAAATGGAGGCCAGATCAAAAAGACCTTTGCGTTTTTGCCTTCTTGACAGGACCTAGGCCTTCTGTCATGGGTCCACCAGGGGTCTGGGAAGGAAAAATCAATGCCCAATTTACCTCCTTTTCTATTTAGACAGACTACCAGATGGGAGGAAGGCTGGGTCTCAAATTGTGGGGGGTGCGGCTGTCCAGTTCAGTAGCTTCATAGCTGCCTTGCCATCTTGGCACAGTGCTATTATGAGTATCTAGATTAGGCTGTCTGGACAGTGGTGCCTGGTAACCCACAGAGCCCACATTGCCAGTGAAACATTTTACCAGTGACTTGGATGAGAGCACCCATGGCTTATGAACCAAGTTTGCAAATAGCAGGAAAGCAGGAGGCACAGTAAAGACAGTAGATGATGAGATCCCCAAAGACATCAAAGCTGAAACTTTGGAACAAGAGTCCAAACCGGCATAGGGTGCCCTGCACAGTAGCGAGTGGCCCGTCCCAGGGTGCATTCCAGTCTTGGCAAACAGCAAATGTAGAAGTGATTAAAGTGTCAGGTGGTAGGTTGCCCTAGACCAAGGGTTGGTGGACTTCTTCAGTAAAGGGCCAGAGAGTAAACACGTCAGGCTTTGCAGGCCATAGGGTCTCTGCGGCAAGTACTCCTCTGCCACTGTAGTGTGAAAGCAGCCATAAGCAGGCTCCAGAAAGAGGGCGGCTGTGTCCCAGTAGAACTGTGGCCTAGAACTGGCCCGCAGGCTATAGTTTGCTGACCCCTAGATTAAGGAGTCATTTCCAAACACTGATCTTGCCTAACAGTACCTGCAGTGACCAGGTCTTCACCAATTCAGAATGAAATAAAAATAGGGACAATGTAGTGAGATTGTATAAAACTAAATGTATTCTCTTTACATGATCATCCAGAATGTTGAGATTCTTTCCTGCTAATGTGTCTTTTTCATTATAAAATGAGCGTTACAGTAGGTGACAATTTTCAGGTTGTCCTTTGCTCTCTGCAAATAGCTTTACTAAAAAACCAGCCTGCAGATTTCCTTTTTGAGAGGTGATAAGTAGATGAAATGCAGGGGCCTGGGAACCACCTCCCAGGGGGTGGTCAGCGTGGGACCTGCGGCCTTACCACCCCCTGCGCTGTCTCTCCCCTCTCTGCCTCCCTGGCCTGCTGACAGCCGTGGTTGGGGCCGGAATTGGGGGCTCCGCTGTAGCCTATTTCCTCCAGCAACACTTTGGGCCCCGGGTGCAGATCGACGTGTTTGAGAAGGGGACTGTGGGTGGCCGCCTCGCCACCATCTCCGTCAATAAGCAGCACTACGAGAGCGGGGCCGCCTCCTTCCACTCCCTGAGCCTGCACATGCAGGACTTCGTCAAGCAGCTGGGTGAGTGCATTGCCCCAAGGTCCTCTCCACCCCCCCCCCCCCCCCGTCTTGCCCATGGCTGGTGGCAACCACTGGGCTTCTCCCAGATGGTCCTGGAGGTCAGGGCCAGAGGGTCATGTAGCCCCATCTCCTCGTTTTACAGATGGAGCATCTGAGACCAGAGAGGGGAAGGAACTTGCCTGAGGTTACACAGTGAGTTAGTTGCAGAGCGGGGATTAGAACCCAAGCCAGTTTCTTTCCCTTTTGACTTGCTGCCTCTCGGTAGCCATAATTATAACGTCTTCCATGTGCTGTGTGCTTGCCAGGTACCTGGAATCCTTCCAGGTGGGATGTGGGCATTCCGTCCTCCCTACCCAGCCACCCTCCTGTGAGGCAGGTGTTAGGTCTCCTGAGGAAAGGAAGGCTCAGAGGGTGTCTACACCTTTGCTGCGGCCCCGCTGCCGAGGAGTAAGAGCCGGATTCAACCCCAGCAGCACCTAGCGAAACCACAGACACTGGTCCTGTTTGACACACAAGCTCTGCTTCTCGGAAGCGACCAGGTGTACTAAAGAGAGCTAAGTGGCAAACACAGTTACTCATCGCAGCGTTGCTGGAGGTAGCAGAAGGTTGAAAACATCCCACCTGCCCCCCCACTGGGATCTGAGAGTAAATACTGTTTAAGTGCACAGCAGCAAGACTGGGGAAGTCCTTCAGGCTTAGTGTAGAGCACTCGCAGAGACCCAGTGTGTCAGTAGGATGCAGAGCTGCAGATAGTATGTGGGGGCGGAGGAGGAGTGACTCCTGGCTATACCCATCCTTAGGAGTGTTGGCAGAAAATCTCTCTGGAAGGAAGCCGAAGGAATGTGGCCTCCGCGATAGGGAACTTGGTGGCTCAGGGACAGGAATGGGGGGAAGAAACAGAAGCCTGTGACTTGGGGCAGGTCCTAGAAGCTAAGCCTCGGTTTCTACATTTCTAACTGGGGGCTGCTGTCACCTGTTCTGCCTCTTCCCAGGCTGAGAGAGGATGAAGCGAGATGCTGAAGTCCCAGTGCTCTGTAGGCTGTCGCGTGCGGACGGTTGCAAAGAGCTGGGACTCTGCCCAGGCGGTCTTGGTGCCGGGGCTTGCCATCCAAGAGCCAGCAGTCAGTCCCTGGCCATTCCAGGATGACAGCTGAATTCCCCGCACTCGTGGCTGAGTGCATCCCTGTTCAAAAACACCACTGTGAACTGGTACATTACTTTAAATCTCACGTCTTTATTAACTAGCCTGCCCAGGGCATCTGTTGACTGTTCCAAACAAGCAGCACAGAGGGGCAGACCATAGTGTCTGGCTCTTCCCTTTAACAGAGCCAATCCATTTGCATCCTTCAGGAGGACCCTAAATGTCGCTCAGTAACTGCTAGATCTCCTGGGGGAGGGGGGCGCTCTGAGAGGGACCTGAGGGGCTCCTGCCTATCCCCTCAGGCCTGAGGCACCGGCGAGAGGTGGTGGGCAGGAGCGCCATCTTCAACGGGGAGCACTTCGTGCTGGAGGAGACAGACTGGTACCTGCTGAACCTCTTCCGCCTCTGGTGGCACTACGGCATCAGCTTCCTGCGGCTGCAGATGTGGGTGGAGGAGGTCATGGAGAAGTTCATGAGGTACGCCGGGCGGGGCTTGCAAACGCCACTGCCTACAAGGACACCCTTGGGGTGTGCGGAAGCAGAAGCGGAAGCAGCTGGTGGGAGAGGAGAGTGGGCAGTGGGCTGCCCCGAAGAGCAGGGCCCTGTCTGAAGGGGGTAGCTAGCACTCTGCCCTGTGGGAATGCCACCTCCTGTGGCTAGGTCTTTCGATTTTCTAGAAGACGCTAGAAATCCAGAGTGATGTGTGAAATCTCCTGGTTTTTCAGCAACCAATTCATCTTAGGAATAAGCCAAATGAAGCACATCTAGAGGCCTCTTACAGCCTCAGGCTGTGCCCTTCTAAGCCCAACTGACCCCCGGTTTTCCCATGTAGAACAAACTCCTTTTTCACCACTTCCCTCCTCCTTGGGCCCTGGCCTCCTCCCCCACTCCTTCATATGATGAGGACAAGTGGTCCGATGTCACTCTGTCTGCTTCTCACCGTTCACCCACTCGCCACCTGGCACGCCAGCTCTCCCCTGAGGGTCCTCCTTGCTTCCTGGCCCAGAGGCAGACATTCAGGATGGCCTCCCGGCCTCCTTGCTGGGTCCTGGTGCTTTGCCACCCTTCCCATCTCCACCCCTATACCCTTCATGGCATCCCTACCTTTTACTCTCCAGGAATCCCCCAGATGTAATGTCCTTACCCTTCTGACGTCTTTCCCCCTTGTCCATTTTACCCAAACCTACAATGCTGATTTTCTTTCATGGAGAGGAACTCTATCTGATTGTCCCATTATGACCAGACTCAGCACATTGACAAAGCAGCCCCGGTAGAGGCAGCATTTCAAAGATCAGCTGGTCAGTCCCTGAGACTGGGGCTGCTGCGGAGGGGCGAGACTGGAGCTCGCTGGGGTGCGTGGGAGCCCTGTCGGATGAGGCTGGGAGGGAGGCCAGGCTGGGCTAGCACAGAACATGGCAACACTGGTGTGAGGCCAGTCCCACCGGGTCCAACGTGGCCCTAGAAGCCAGCGCAGAGTGTACACTGCTGAAGCGAGCCATGTGACAGTGGAGGTGGGCTGTGGCCCACTGCCTGGCAGTCCCCCGTGGGTGAGAAGAGGACTGTGCCCTCAGACGGGGCAGTTCAGACACCATAGTTGTCCTTTAGCCGCGCCGTGGGGAAACCAGGTCTAGTGGGGCTCCGGACAGTTTGCCCTGCCCCCTACGCTGTCCCTATAGCTGGGGGAGGCCCACCGGCGTCAGCAGACAGGCTAAGAAACCAGCCTCCTCTCTCACTTTCCTCATGGAGAGGCAGGGTGGGGCCCTGCTGGGCCGCCCAGGTGCTGGTCAGCCGGCACAAGGGCTCCAGCTCTGCATGTCTTCCAGGATCTACAAGTACCAGGCCCATGGTTACGCTTTCTCGGGCGTGGAGGAGCTGCTCTACTCACTGGGGGAGTCTGCCTTCGTCAACATGACCCAGCGCTCCGTGGCGGAGTCCCTGCTCCAAGTGGGCGTCACTCAGCGCTTTATCGACGATGTCGTCTCCGCTGTCCTGCGGGCCAGCTATGGCCAGTCTGCAGCAATGCCTGCCTTCGCCGGTGAGCCTCTGCCCTCGGCCTGCCTCCTGCCCTTCCCTGGCCCACAGCACCCAGGATGGGCTGCCACCCCCACCCCCCACCCCCGGCCAGTGACAACCCCACACCCACCAGGCTCAGTATAGCTGTCTAAGCACATTCCTGCCTCAACCCTCTTTGATTCTGGCATCGGACCTCCAGGCTGCCAGGAAATGATGTTCACCCCATTTCTCAGAAGTTGGAAGCAAAGCTCAGATCTTAGTTCCAGTGTGTTTCCACCGCTCCTGCTGGGGCTGGTTTCAGGACCTGGCCTGCTGGGGCCAGCGGGCGTGTACATAACCGGCCACCCTCCAGCGCAGGCCGGGGCCTTCTCTCCTCCCCGCCTCCTAACGTGGAAAGTGCAAGCTCAGTCCTTGGTCCGCGTCTCAACTACTCACACTTCCACCCACCGACTCCTAAGCACGCCTTCCAGCCCAGATCTCCCTTCAGGACTGCAGACTCACATGTCCAGTGCTACCCTTACATCTCCACTGGTGGGCACTCAAGGTGGCCAAACCTGAGCTCTTGACCTTCCCCTCAAGCCCGCCTCTCTAAGAGTCTTCCACAGCTCCTTTCCGTTGCTCCAGCCAAAACCCGGACTGGTGCCATCTCTGATATCCATCACATATCATATCTCATCTGCGAAGGAAGGAAGGAGAGATAGGAGGGAGGAAGGAAGGGAGGGAAAGAAAGAAAGAAAGAAAGAGAGAGAGGAGAGGAAGGAAAGGAAACAAAAAAGGGAAGGAAAGGAATCTGCTTTGCCTTCCACTTAGAGCCAGAATCTGACCACTTCCCAGCACTGCTTCCTCCCTGGTCCAAGTTCAGCATCCCTCACCCAGATTACTGCAAGTCTCCCGCCAGGCCCCCCC